TATTTCTATAAATCTTATTTATATGTATATAAACATATATATAATTATATATATATATGTTTTTTGTAATTTTATTGTTTTTTAAATTTATTGGCCTTTGCTACTGGTATAATTACAATACTACATATTACTATGCGTTTGTAGCATAATGTTTTCCTTTCATGGAAAGATAGCAGGTACTAAAAGAAAGGGTAAAATTTCCAGTCCTTGCAAATTTGGAAGGACTGGTAATTTTAGGGTTTGGAAAGATCTGGAAATCAGAGAAATATTTCTCTTCTTTTGTTACGTTAGCATTGTTAAATAAGAGGAGGCTCCATCCATTCAGGAGTATAAAATCATTCCTAACCAAGGTGAGCAAAGTACTGACTGGTCTTAGATTATAAGTGGTTATGAAATAATTTTTACTTCATAAGAACACTATTTTACTTTTATTTTACTTTTTCTTCAGCTTGTATTTTGGAGCCTATGCCTCTGTCCTTTCATATATGCACTAGACTGAACAAACAGAAATGACATCAGTGTCCCCTTCTGATACTTGGCACAGAGCCACATGATCACATATACTGCTACATAGTAGACAGGTGAATAAAAATGCACAGAAACACACTTTCAGTTTAAAATCTTTTAAAAATCTATTTTAAATGTCAATTTTATACATATCTTGTTTCTCTTATTAAGATGCAACAATGGTAAGATTCTTTATATATACTATTATGATGTCATCTCTTACATGTTTACATATTACTTATGGAGTATATAAATCCTTCAAGAGGAATCACAGTCATGACCCACAATATTTCACTGATGTTTTAACATTATGCATATAAAAGCTATGCTGAATATACTAATCTTTGATTTTCCATTACATTAAATGTATGTAGTACACTACTTTTCTTTGACTCAGTCCTAAACTTACATAAAATCTATTTCCATTTTGATAGTTCTTCAATTGTGCCTCTTTTTCAGGGGAGTAATTTCAAAATAATATTTTCTGCATGTTAGATTTGAGCATTAGTCTCAATTCTGCACCCTTCCCTTCATTTACTCTCTTCTGTGAGTTTGCAGTTCCTCCCACTAGAGGTGGAATGTACTTCTTCACCTTGACTTTTGACTTGGCCATGTGACCTGTGTTAGCCAAAGAAATGCTGCAGAAATGAGAATTTGCCAGGTCTGACTCTTAACCGAGGATACATTGTGTGTTTCTGCTTGTTTAGCCCTCTGCCATCACTATGATAGCTGCTGCCCACAGCCTGAAAACCAGAATAAATTCAATTAGATCCAGAATTAGTCTAACCCACATCAAAGAACCAAGTCCAGTTAGATCAGAGTCACCCAACTAAGCCTAGCCTAAATTAGCCAACCTCAGCTATCCTGCAGATGTATGAACAAAAATAGCTGATGGTTATTTTAAGCCACTAAATTTTGAGGTAGCATGTTACATTTCAGCATTATGGTAGATATATCTCCTGACATATGCACTCAGCAAACCTGCAATAATCTTGCAAGCTTCTACCTAGTAAGACTTGTAAGGCTAAAGATTGAAGAAGCAAGTACAGTTGTGGAGACATGGCATTTCTTGAGCTGCCAAAGCTTCTGACCCCATGAGTGCTCATGTGCAGGCAGCAAAAACATGTGAACTTCCACAGAAACAATTTTTGGATTTGCTTCAGTATTATTAACTCAGAGGCATTCAAGCCTGGTACCCTTGGCCTTCTCAGTAATTCAACTATAAGCTAATTAATACCCCAAAATAAATAGTTTTCTATTACTTAACTAGAGTAGATTATGTTGCCTGGAGCTAAACCTTGAATAGAGACAATAATTAAGTTAACCTAACTTTTACTTAAATTTTGATTTGAGAATTTTGTACTTTTTAATTTATATTATATTTAAGTAGTGAGATACCAATCAGATAACTGGAATTCAAGGTCCAAGTCTATGTTTAGTCAATTATTCAGTCTTGGGTAGGTCATATAATCTCCCCAATCCCCACTTTCCTCATTGGTCAAATGTGGAAAATCATTAATAACTGCTTCCAAAAAGCATTTTTATGAATAACATATTATATTATTAAAAGTTACTTTAAATGCTTTTAAATAAAATCCATATATATATATTTATGTATGGACATATTCAAAGGTATGTTTATGTTTACTGTCACTATCAGCTCTAATGCACCAAAAAAAAAAAAAAAAAAAAGAAAAGAAAGAAAAAAGAACTGATAAGTCTTCAATTGTGCCTTTCTTGAAGCTTGTTTCCAATTAGGTTTATTTCTATTTCAAACTTGTTTCCAATTAGGAAATTTTTTTTTTTCACAGTTTATGATCTCAGCTACTATGTGGTCTAGATTTGTTTTCCGGTTTTAGACCAAAAGAAAGCTTAGTATTGTGAAACGAGTTATGATGCCTAATTAATTCACTAATCTATAATGCTTACTTGCCAATAGAAAAAAAATGAAAGAGATGTGTGTTTGATGTAGAATGTAGAATGAAAAAAAAGTTATAAATAACCAAGCAACTGTGAGTCATTTTAAGTTATGAAAAGTAAAACCTTAGAGATGACTTTCAGATTTTGGTTTCCTTATTAATATTCATTTTTCTCCACTAGTATATGTCTGCAAATGGCTGGAATTAATAATTAATCAAAATGTGATATCTTGTGAATACACATAGGAAAATAATTTCAAAGACTTTAAAACATAAACTGCTCATATGTAATAAAAATAATATTTTTAATATTTTATCTCATTTTTATAACTTTATAGGGAAAGTGAGGCATCTAAATGGCAATAATTTTCAGTTTTATTTCACTGGAACCCATCTGAACATAAAGACTAGAAACAAAATGTAATGCTCTTACCCAGTAGAACTAACTATTGCTGAGCTTGAGAGTGATGTCATCCCCCGGTAATTGTTATCCCACCGTTTAGTACCTAGTGATCATTACTTCAACCAAAATCTGGTGAGCTTTATTACATGCCTAGCACATAAATGCCAGCGAAAAAGTGGAATCAGTAGGTAAGTTTCAAGCTTCAAGGCAGCTTACATTCCAGTGAAAAAACAGACAGGAAGCATGTACACAAGTAAATAATGTAAGTTCAGATAAAAATATTTTGAAAAAAATAAAATCAGCTATCACTGTAGAGAATATAATACTAGTAAGCAATAAAGTCATTTTTGAGAGAGTGATATTTGAGATAAGACCATGATGGCAGATTTATAGCACATTCAAATGCATTCTACTATGGAAATAACTCTGTGGAGGGATAACATAAGAACTGATTAAAACCAGTCTCACTCAAAATAAATTTGTCCAAGATTTGGACAGGGTCATAGGTGGAGATGGCCAGAATTAAATAAGAACATTTCAAAAGTAGGTACAAATATCTAAAATTCTGATATATGAACAACTATGCTTTGGTCCTGAAGTAAGCCAGACCTGAATCTAAATTTCTTTCTGATGACATCAAAGTGGCCTTGGGCAAGTCACTTCATCTCTCTCACAGGGTCTACTTCACAGACTTGGATTCAATGCTATGAGACAGTCATAGCCTTGTTTCAAGGTGAAAAACACTTTATTATAAAAATATAATTGATGAGTTTACACATGCTTGCTCCACTGAAAATAATTAGAGGAATACAAAATAGAAAAATGATATGACTAACTTTTTGACAAAAGGCAAGTGATGAACAGGTTTTAGATTTTATATGAGAGTCAATGGGAACTTCAGATCAGTAGAGGCAGCAAACTCCTGTTTCTATACAGACATCCCTCTGTTGCAGCTTTGGATGTACATGCTATAGGGTCATACTCTTAGGTTTAATGGCTCTTGTTCACTGTACCATTAAGAACATAGCCGATTCTCACAAATGCAAGCAACTCCCTGACAATTTCACTCATATTTTGATAAAACCTTTGTGCTTTAATTTTAACTAAAAGCAAACAAACCCACCACCACCAACAACAAAAACTCTTAATTATTTGAAAGATCTAATCTCAGAATTTCTTTCCAGTTAGACTACATATGTTTGGATTAAGAAAAAGCAGTGTGCCTTGCTTTTGCAATACCATGTAACACCGTAAATTCTAGCTACTTTATATTCTGCCTCATGTATCTTTAACATAGCCTATAGCTAAGCTTCAGTTGTAAGATCACTGTAGCTAATGAAAATATATGACTTGGAAAAAGTTTTAGAAACCATATTCATCTGCAGTTCTGGGATATACAGAAAAGAGCATTGTTTTTTACTTTAAACAATTAAGAAAATCTGATTTGCAAGTTGCTTATGAAAAAGGAGATGCTATTTTAAAGGTTTTCATTAAACATAATATGTAATACCATTGGCCATACCTTCAAAACATCCTTGTCAATATCTTCCTAAACTACTACATTCTTACCTTTCCACTAGACTGAAATGAAAGTTTGCAAAATACCAACTAACAGTAAGGAATTATTTCAATCTCCTTACATAATTACTGAGTAGCAATTATAAATAAAGCAGGACTCTGGGGGATAGAAAGATAAATAAGTACTCGAAAGGAGCTGACAATCCAAGTAAGAAAGCAGAAAAATGATGCAGAAAGAGCAAGCCTGTTTGTGATCTTAGAAAATCAGTTAGAAAAACTACGCTGTACTAATTTATTTACCTGTTTCATTCCCTCTAGTGGAGAGAATGAATCACCAGAGACTCAGGTCCTTCAGCTTTAAAGTACCTCAGAACTTGTACAGTGACTCTAGACAATAGCTTAAATCCAAGCTGAAAAGACTTGTTACGGTCTCTATCTTCTCCATCTCTCTGGTAGACTTCCAACAGGTGAGTCATTAAAATGGTCATGCATTCTCTATCGCTTAAAACCAGTGGAGTAGCTGCAGGACTACTTCACAGATCCTGGACCCCCCGCTCCCCAACACACACACACACCCTGGCCTTCTCCACAAGCTACGTAACTGCAGAGGCCATGGCAAACACCTTTAACTCAATTTCTCATTTCACACTTACTTTCAACCTGAAGTAGGTAACAACTGGGTGGCTTCTTTGAAAAGAAGGAGCATGAGGTGTGGATCAGAAGTTGTATCAATGACATGACTGCAGCTGAAAAAAAAACAAAAAAGGAAGTGATTGCTTACTGATACTTTTAAAATTTTTATTTCTATTTTATTTAAAAAATAATTATTTCAATTTTAAAGTTTTTATTTCAATTTTTATTCAATTAACAAAAAAGCAGCCATTTTAAATGGACAACATGAGTTTTGACAAATGTATATACCTAGTCAACTATTATAACACCAAAGTATAGAATATTTCCATATTTGATTACTTATTTTATACTTAGGATAAACACTACCAGTTAGACTGTAGAGTGAAAGGTGTATACATTTTTAAAGTTCTCTATATATGTTGCCAAACTGCCTTCCAGAAAGTTGTTACAATTAGCCCTGTTCTCAATTGTGTATGAGAATGCTAAATTTAGATAAGAAGTCATTGCTTTATTAGCATTTGTCTTGTCCTTTCCAATAAAAACTGAATTTTGATAAAAAATGAATGAAAAGAGCTTTTAAAATTATTTCTTTACATGGACAATTAACACCTGTGAATCATTAGAAAAGTGGAACCCTTAGGAGCAAATTGAAAGCATGTTTGGAATGTAAACCACTGATATGTTTTTAAAAACCTGGTTATTTAATACAAAAGTTTTAACTTATTCTTTCAAAAACAGAAAAACTCTCATTGAGATAGCATTTAGGTATTAGAACCTTTCTCTTATAGTAATGCTATTCAAAAGGCAGTCCATGAACCAGTAATATTAACATCACCTGGAAACTTGTTAGAAATGCAAATTCTTGACCCCATTCCTGGCCTCTTGAATCAGAAATGTTGGGCTTTGGCCCCCTCAATCTGTGTTTTAACAAATGCTCAGTTGATTCCAATGCAAATTCAAGTTTGAAAAGGACCATTTTGTAGAGTATTCCATATATACAAAAAAATTAAAACTCCTTTCAACACTTAGTAGTAAACCCAGCACTCAACAATCACCAAATATTTTTTCAGTCTTTCCTTTAAGAGCTGAGATCCAGGTCTCTTATCTATCTAATGTAGTTGAGATCATCTCTTATAATTCTTTTTATATTTAAAAAGATATGACTGCTATGAGTAAAATTCTGAATTTGGGGCTATGGCATATATAAGGAAGTAATAAATCATGATCCCTGACTTCAAATAACTTATAATTTGGTTGAGTAGGAATAACAACTAACTACACAGTCTCAGTTGGTAAGTGTGAAATTTGAGTGACACAGATAATAGGCCATATAGGTATCAGAGAAGACAGAGATCACTAAGGGTTTTGGAGAACAGGTTGGGCTTCTTTGAAAAGAAGCAACACGAGGTGTGGATCAGAACTTGTATAGGTTTTACATAAGCTGAAGCAGGAAGTGACTTCTGCTGAGAAGACAGCCAAATTGAATGAACTAAGTTTTAGGGAGTGTGTAGCTGTAGCTGTTTGGCTGTGCTAGAAACTTCAAGGAGGTGTATACTTTGAGTGGTGAAGGAAGGCTGAGGCAGAAGGCTATTGGAAAGTCACATCAATTTCCTGGGCCTTTGTGAAATATGCAGTTCTTAAAAATGGTTCTGAGCTCAGTAGAAAATAAGAACCCTATGGTAGAATGGTTTGGCTACACAAATCAAATTACAAGCTCCATATTAAAATAAAACCAAGTCACTTCAGCAATCTCTATCGAGTAAAGGTAGACTTGAACTATAAGAATGTTCTTGAAACTCTGAAATTTAGTCTCAAAATAACAAAACTTTAAAAATTGCATGTTCGTTACAAAGACAGTTCTAGTCAATGCTGTGACATGTTATTTTACAAAAGCTGTATTGTGACCTTATTTTGTGCAACTAACATCCAAGTATTTAATAATAAGGTAGTTTAATAAAACTCAAAAACCCTTTTGACTGTGCTTGTGGGACATTAGGCGAGGTGAATAAAAAATGAGATTCAATAATTCACAAAAACCAAATTTGGCATAATTATACATTATTAGAATTCTGTTCTTTTTAAAACAGAAATTACAATGAAATTAAAACTATATGCAGGAAGATCCTGGAGAGTCTAGTAAAATACCTAAGAAATATGCCTGCTTTACTAGTAAGAGAAGATGATATTTGCATACATAGGAACCTGATAAAGATTTTCAACATCAAGTCAGATCAATCTCAGTGGTCTACTGTAAGTAGCTGTAAGTTGACAGTGTTTGGAAACAAATAACTTGCTAGAATAGAAAGTGCTGAATTCGGTGCTATCTTCTACAAACTCTACCTCTCATGTGTATGATATCTGCATCTAAAGGCAAAGGACAATACAGAGGTGGATACAGCTTAAAAATAAGTGTTTTCACATTTAAGTATACTGAGTTTATTAAACCGGTATATAAGATTTATGATGAAGTATAAATAGTGCCAGGAATTGTAAGCATTTATAGTGCATTCTACACTTTGTAATGATTGTTTGGGGGCTGCTGGTACAATTTAATATTTAGATAGTTCCCTTAAACTAAGAGGCTCAAAACATCTATGTAACTTTAATCTGTAATAGTAATTTCTGGAGGAAAGAAAAAAGACCTGCAACATTACAATCACTACCTTGTACATTAGGGATTATTTAAAACAAAGCATGTGGCTTTGTCTATGCACAGTCCAAGTGTGACCACAAAGTGTTCAACTGCAGGCTTCACAGTCTTCACTGATGCTTTATTGAAGTGGTCATTGTGAAAACACAATGTTGCTTTAAGATGATCATTTGTGGGCCTCCCTCAATCAAAACCACTTTGCTTTTAATAGAGCTTTGAACTAACAGAGTTTCCAAAGGTTTCTTTGAAAACCTTCCTATTACTTATCTCTATAAATAATAACAGTATTTATAACAGCTCTCTCTGAGCTATTACCTCATTTTCCTGTCTAATAATGTGACATCTGACATTTATTCGAAAAGGAAAGTAACCAAGAACTAATCTGCTGTAAAGCAAAAGCACTTGAACAACTTTGCAAATATGTGGTATTATGTAATAATTTCTTAATACCTTCTCTCCATGTAGTACCTATTTTCACACAGGGTAAACAAAATTTAGGTCTAAAATATTTCTGTTATCTTTATTATAACTTCTACTAAAAGCAATTTCCATTTCACTGTTATCTTGAGTTACACATTAAGACTTCAGTTAGAAAATAGTAGTTAAGATTATAGCTTTTACAAATGAAATTTTAAAAATTAGAACTAAGTTACTATATTCAAATATAGAATAACTACAAAAACATTTATAGCTACTATATACTACAATGTAATTGACACTGCTTGGTCAATAAGCACATATAGTCACATAGTACATGGGATCAAAATATGAAAAACTTCATAGATAACTTCTTCTACAGATATGCGTTTTTTCCATTGTATTACTGTGAAAATTTAAGCTTGACTATATTAACTACAATAAGTTCCAAATTTCAATTTATTTTTAATCACATCTATTAGTACAAAAGGTTATATTCAAATAGCAGCTCTATTTGCATCTAACAACTTGTGCATATTTATAACCGATTACACATATAATTGCAATGGTGACTTTGCAAGTAGTATTACAACTTCTATTAGTCACTGACATATGATTTCACCTGTAACCCTAATAAATCTTGAGCCTATGTGGTCCAATCAATTTGTGCAGTCATATTCAGCAAACCATAGTATAACTGCCAAACAGGAATTGAAAGGAAGCTCAAATTTTAATGATTTTTTCAATTAATTTTGAAGGAGATCTATCCACAATTCATATCCATCAATAAATCTAAAGCAAACCCAAAAGCTTACTCTCACCATTTGCAGATACTTGGGAGGATCTTTCTCCAGCCATATCCTATGCTGCATTATCTACCATGTTTGGGGCCCCCATTAAATAGATTGATTTAGCCCCTTCCTCTAATTTATTACCCTTTTTCTCAGAGTTCTACCTATCTGACTCTCTACACACTTTTCTAATTTTGTATAATGCAAGATCTGAGAACTGGGCTAACAAAAACTCTCCTTCAGGGTGTAGATGATTAGATAAGTTGGGGGAACCTTCATATTTTATTTTCCTTTGCTTCCTTTCTTACTCACCCACATTCCTTCCCAGCTTGTGAGTACAGCAGCAATTAAAGGACACATGTTTAAGGGCAATATGGTGCACACAGAGGGTCCAACATCATTTAACTCTTGATTTTTACCTATCATAGCTGTATTTTTTACTAATTTAGCTAATCAGCCACATCATTATTTTAAAAGCATATAATAAATGTGCTCACTAAACTCTTGAAATCATATGCTCTCTTAATCTACATTTGCTTCCTTCAATTTTGCCTTTCAAATAAGAAATAATGTTGAATTTCTATAGTCTTAATTTATATAAAAATCTATATGCCTGTTATATAAATTCATATGGCAATTAAAATCATGTGAATTAAAATAATAAATATGTATAAAGGATGAATAAGTACATGAAGAAAAAATATTGCAGTAGAAACTACTTTAAAATCATATTCTAGAGAATATTTTGAGGAAAAATTTGAGTGGATTAAAATTACAGTTGATAGTGAAAATTGATGGCCCTGAAATAGAGAAAATGAATATTTATGAAGTAATTACAAATAATTAATATTACTTAGAAGACATCATTAGGAAGTTCTTATAACATTATAATAGTCTCCAAAGTATCATAGATAGATGAATGGATTACTACTTCCAAAGTAAACTTTCACTCCATAACTTGAATTTCTGACACCACAAATTATAAAATACTGTGGCTTCTTTTGAAGACCTAATGGCTTCTGTATCTATCAGTTTCCTTCCATATTAAATATTCTAAAGGAAAAATAACCAAACATAATCTGTTTTTTTCAAGAGAAAAGCTAACCACTTCACTAGTTGACCTAATTTCTCATCAAATCTATATTATGGTAGAGAAGATAAAATGTTGTCTTTTATTTACTGTGCATCAGACTTTTACTCTAAAATAGCCTTAATATTTAACTTAAAATATTTAAATATGAAGATATAATTTATT